ACAAAAGAGAAATGTCTAAAAGAATTTCATTCATTTGTGAATAAACCCTGAAATTTCCATTAAAATCTCACAATATCTGATTTTTGAAAGAATGTCCAAATCAATACTTTTTTACTGCAAAATACACTCAATATTTCCATAGAAATTTATAATCCCACGTTGACGCCAGAGAAAAAAATATTTAACCAAAATTTCGAAGGTTCTAAAAAGGATCAAAAAATAATTTTTGCATCGTAAAATACTTTGGTCTTTCCACTTATATATATATATATATATATATATATATATATATATATATATAAGTGGGGAGCTCGTTAAGAAATTGTAAAATAAAAAGAATCAATAGATTTATGTAATATTAGTAAAGCTAAAAAACTGACGCAGTTTCTGCACAAAATAGGCTGTTATTGACCAATCAGCGATCTTGTCGGAGTTAGCTCCTCTTTAGTTCCTTATTCCTTCACCAGGGGTCTCTCTCCTCTTGCTATAAATACTGGGTGACCTTTTGCCACGATCCCTCTTTTTCCTTCAGGCCTTGGGCCGTATCCCACCTCGCGTGGAGGTGAAGTAATTCTTTCTCTTCTTTCTTCATTTCAGCTAATGCCAATATGTGAGCTCTCACCAATACAGCGTTTCTCAAATTCTGAGAACACGCTAAGAACACTACCAATACACGTACGTACGAACACTCACCACAATACACACACACAATATTCACCACACAAACTCAATGTAACTGGCCATGTGCTTGTAACTTGCTGTTAATACATATATTTCTTTGTATATATTTATTTGTCTTGTGTTTGTTTTCTTTGTCTTCTTTGGACTTAAAGTCCATCATTCTCATGTAGCTGGACCGGCTATCAGGAAATTTTAACCCACGTCTGTTCTTTACATCTTCACCCCACAGTCCACTACAATGTTATTCCAACAAGCGCTGAAGACCTTTGAAATTTTAGACAATTGTTCCGAAATATGAAAGCTCGCTCTAAAAACTGATCAACTATATGTTACTTCCTAAAAATAGATATTTAAAAATTGGTGAAATTATTTATTAACCAGTCTCGTAAGTTAATTTTTAATTACTTCGAGTCTGTCTATTTTTATAAATATTCCTGGTTAGTTTTCATTTTTTTCCGTAAACCTTTGACTAGGGTCGTTTGTTCGTTGCTGTAGACAAGCTGAATTCTCAAAACTTTCGTATAATTAATTACTCAACTCTGTTTCTTCCATCGGACTAATGCAATTACTTCAGTTGTATTGTAAAGAAAGCGAACAAAAATATTTTTATGTGAATTTGTTTCGAAAGGAGCATTTTAAATTCGTTTCTTTCGATTTGAAAGAAAACAAATACTCAATAATAAAATTTATTTACATTTTAGAGCTGTGTTTAAAGATTGCTTATTTCTTTGCTTTTCACGCTTTTTCCTCTACACACACACACAAATATATATATATATATATATATATATATATATATATATATATATAGAGATAGAGAGAGAGAGAGAGAACGAAAGAAAGAAAGAGAACGTGGCAAAAAATTACTTTTAAGCGGTGATATATATATGGGTAAAATGCTCAATATCATTTTTGTTTATTTGCTATGTTATTATTATTATTATTATTATTATTATTATTATTATTATTATTCCTTTGATTTCTGGTGTATACCCATTTCTTTCCGGGTCCCAACAAGACAACTAAGCTCAGAAATGGCATCATGCCATTTTCCCCTGTGCATTTTCTGAGTAAAAAGAAACAAAGAACACATGTATTTTCCATAGATAAAGCCCTTTGCAACTTGTGGGATGTAGTTGTGAGTAATTTCTTTTGTATTTTGTAAGGTTTCGGTTGCCAGGAGTATATTCAAGGAGTTTATTGGAATCTCTTCCAATCAATCCAAGAACTCCTACTACAGCTGAAGTAGTTGATGTCCAAATACATTATACAGAAACAGCTATATCAATAAGAATGCACATTCTGTCTTTGTGGTCATTGATCACGATGACTGAACGATTACCTTTGATTGTTCTGTCTATGTGTATTGTAAAATCCCATAAAACTGTTACAGGTCTTATCTCTGTAACCGGGTCTGGGTGATATTCATACCAGTTTCTTGCAGTTTCCTTACCATAAAAGTGGCATATTTTTCAGTGCAGATTTTAGCCCACCTTATCAAGCTGTGTTTTATATTCAGTCAGTGCTAACACTGTGCAACCTGATACAAGATGGTCGATTGTTTCTTGTTTGCTACGGAAAAAAGTATTGACCATGAAGAGGCTTATTTTGCTATTGTTTCTGCATTTGCTTTTGCTTTCTTTTTTATGTTCTTTGCCGCTGCAGTAAATGTATTATAGTTTATTTGTACTTCTTCACCGACTTGAAATTCACTTTTGAATATGTTGGCTTACTTTTTACTGAATAAAGTTTCTTATTTCATGTTCTTCGACACAGATTATCATTCTATCTTCTGTAGTTTCCAGATATCTTTGAAGACCGATTGTGGTAGTTTGTAAGACAGTTCTAGTCAAAATAATTCTCTGCGTCCTTCGGATCTGGGTACATACAAACGATCAACACCAGTCTTCAGATGATGCATGCAGTGGCAAGTGAGAAGCTTTTTCGTTTTGACATCCATTCGCTTAATGTCAGCTATGGTCCGATTAAGAATGTTGAAACTTTATTGCACCACAGGGAAAGTCAAAGTGTTTATATGACTGATATTCTCTTTTGTGAATTCAACTCGGTATTTAACACCAGACGTACACGCCTGTAGTATTCTTTTCTTACGTTCTTCGTCATTTCGATATGCTGTATTCCATCACCTTCGCTGATTCCTAGGTATTTATAGGCTTCTTCTTGTCCCAGTTCCTTCATCTTTGTGACAAAATGTTATTCGCCTATAATTTTTCGGTTCATCTGTTACACCCGTTTTTGGTAAGAGATATGTAATACCTTCAGTGATCCATTTTGAAATTTCATTGGGATTATTAATTAGCTTGTGCAGCGTTTTATGAATTGATGAGAGATGATAGAGCTAAAAGTTGGGTACCTTGTAATTTCCTGGAGATTTCCATTTGGGGGATTTTGTTAGAGCTTGTCTAATATTATTCTTTGTCATATCTTTCCATTTCTGCACGGGTTTTTCTTTCATCCTTTCTTGTTTCCGTTTGATCCACTCTACATTGGAATTATATTGCTTTGGGCTTCTCCAAATATTCCCCCAAAATGTTTTCACTTCTTCAGTAGGTGGTTGTTTTTTAACTTCTATAACTGCTTTACCAATTTCCCTGTAAAACCTCGTGCGGTCCGTTTGTGATACCTTATTTTGTCGATAGTACCTACAACGCTTTTCATATCGTATTGTTCTCTTCGCCTTTAATTGTAGTTTAAGTATTTCTTTGATTAGTGGAATTTCATTTACTGCTTTAATTTTATATTTCTACTTGATCTTGATTCCCGTATTGAAATATTTGAATTTCTTGAAATGATATTTAGTATCGATAACTCACATCTGATTTCCTCACTTTATCATTTTAGTTTTGCCTTCCAAGTGGGCTTTTTTTCTGTTGTTTGCATCCTTTATTTGTTTTGATATTAAGTTTCTCAGCAGCTGCCAAAGCTGTTGCATATATGACATTATTTACTTCTGTGATGTTTTTCAATGGTCTGTCCGTTAATAATGCTTGCAATGCAGCGTTATGTTTGCACAATAATTTTATTGGACTTTGTCATATGAAATTTTGGAAGCCGCTCTCTCGCTGACATTTGCGTGCAAATCATTTTGCTGATTGTTTGATTGATGTGGCTTTTTGCTTCAGTTGTTTTCAAGGAATTCTGCTCTAATTTCGTTTGATTCGTCTTTGTTGTGGTAGGATCCACCTAATTTGCATAGTGGAGTACCGACCATATAAATATGGTTGGTACCGGGAAGAGATGGGGGAATCAAGAGATTCAACCAGAGACTCTGCCCGACTGCGACTCAGTCAACACATTCTCCAGGAACGGTCTTACCAGGAATATACAAAAGACGATATGTAAATATTGTGTACACTTTCTTGTTTCAATACATTTTGTTCTAAGTACATTTTGTGTTGCATTATTATTCCATGCATTAGTCAAGTTTCAACAATCTTCATCAGTGACAGAATCTGAACCAGCGGAATTGTTTATGTCGCAGCTAGATTCTTCCGTCCTATTTCCTGAAAGATCATTTCTCATTTATTTTAGTTTGTATCTCATCCTCTGTCATATCATCTATATCCACTCTTGCCTCATTTATCTTTAGATTATGTCTAATAGTACTTTATCTTATATTTAGTTTTATCTTATCTATTTCTGTATTTGAGAGTCTTTTATTTCGCATATTATTATTATTTTATTTCTGATGAGTACTCATTTCTTTCCGGGTCCCGCCGAGGGACCTAAGGTTAGAAATGGCATCATGACGTTCTCCACTGCAAAAAAAAAAAATGTTTACATAGACAAATCCCTTCGTAAGGTGTGGGCTGTACTCGTGAGAACAATTTTTTGTATTTCTTTAAGGCATGGGCTTCCAGGGATCCCTTCATTTAGTCTACTGGAAGCTTTTCCAACCAATCCGAGAGCTCCAATTATTATTATTATTATTATTATTCAACGAGCTTTCTTTTTAATTTATTTTCCTTCCAGGAGGAATTTATTTATTTATTTTTAATTTTCCTTTTTAACTATTACTTCCGCTTCTATTTAAATTTTGTATTTCATTTTTATTGAAAGTTACTGACTTCTTTTTTCTTTAATATGGAGTAATTTATTTTCTTGTTTGGATGTCAGTTTGTAATGATAAACGAGTCTTTGCGCTACACTCGTCTAGGTTTACGCGATTGCCCATTCATAAAAACCATGGTATACGAAAAGCGATTTGTGAAGATGACGCCAAATGGCCCGTCGCGGTGTCTGCCGTTAATTTCAGTGCACAGTAATTCACGGATGGGCAACGCGACCAACAGACACGCTCAAAAGAAGGTAAGGGGCGGGGACAATGATAAATGAAGAGAATGATGTGAGGGACAGGAGAAAGAATTATGCGAAGAGAAAATTAAGGTCGGAAAAGAAACTTACGCAAAAGAATTGAGACAGAAATGCATCTGAATATGTAACAGGGTTGAGGGACTGATCTTGGTCATGACTGACAATGGGTCTAACAGCTTTTTTACTGTGCAGACGGAAAGTGATGGTAGAGTGGTTTACTCTATTTATCGATCGCATATTTTCTTCTCTGTGAACCATATGCCAACAACGAGGCATTTATTCTCAAGATATATGACAATGAAACAGAGTCCAGGGAGAATTGGGTGTATGCCTTTCGAGGAATTAGTAGTGTGAAGCGAACACAAACACTCGTGGTATCGTTTTTTCAAGCACTTTCCAAAGGTGCCGCACGCTGAGATCGTCTCCTCCAGACCGATAACATCAGAATTCTACCTACTGACAAATCAACCGTGGTGAGATTCGAACCAGGCTCTCATGGTCAGAAAGCGAACGATTACACACACACACACACACACACACACACACATATATATATATATATATATATATATATATATATATATATATATATATATATATTAGTTTGTGACCCTGGGTTTCACGCTTTTGCGATCATCAGACAAACTGCTTTATTCTTTAAAATTGGAACTATTTATGTTTGTTTATGTTTGATTATGTCTGGTGGCGGGAAAGGGAATTTTCTTCTGTGTTTATTTGGGATGACACTCTCACATACATATGTATCTATCTATGTATCTGAGAGATATCCATACAAACGAATATGTTAGCTCTATCACTATTGATATTGAGCACTTTCCAGTAAGTACTGCGCAATATAATATATATATGCGCAGTACTTACTGGAAATATATATATATATATATATAGAGAGAGAGAGAGATAGATAGATAGATAGATAGATAGATAGATAGATAGATAGATAGATAGATAGATAGATAGATAGATAGATAGATAGACTTTACAAATGGATACCTTTAGTAACCAATTTCACCTACGAAGTTTAATCTTAAAATTCGCATGATTTTTCAAACTGTTTATGGTATCAGTTTGTAGTGGGATACTGGTTAGTTGAGGAAAGAGAGAGAGAGGGGGGTGTTATAGGGGACATAGTGGGAGATATGACAGAAGAAAGCAGCGTTACAGGAATTATGGAGGTAGGAGATCCTGTGTAGGAGGAGGGACAAGGAAACCGATGAGCTGACCTATGTCTCTTAATTTTTTATCTATCTATTGAGCTACCTTTGTGTGCCTCATACAAACTGTGAGTGCCGTAACAATTGAGAAGGTCGGAATTTTTATCAATATGTAATAAACGGGGGGGTAGCATAATAAAAGGGGGTTGGTGGTGGAAATTCATTTAATATTCAAAAAGTGCAAAATTGATAAACGCGTTGGTTTTAATAAACTCGGTTAGGTAGAAAAATTTCCTCCAATAAAATAAATTCCCCCACCTTCTATTAGTACCCTAAGTAATCGGATTGAAGAGTATTGAATTTTTAGAAGTCAACTTCTAGGAGTGCAAGTATGGCTGAAAGAAAAAAATAATGCCATAAACAAAAAATACTTGTTTTCTTCTCTGGAACGAAAAGCGAAAGACAATGTAGTGAAAACATTACTAGTTTATTCTTTATGTTGATCGAGATAGCTTTGTAGAGAGGACCCGTATGTTCAAAAGTTGAAGCAATACAGTAAGATGACGAGTTGAATCATCGCCGAGCAAATGTAACACTTCTCGTCCTTCCTCATTACTTATTTACAATGACAAGATCGATCTGAATAAGAAGGGTTTGGTGCGCATTGCTCTACGGCAGGCGCCCTCAACTTGACAAAAGTCTGGACTTGCCGAGCGTTCAAGTATCTCTCTCTCACTCACTCTCTCTCGCTCTCTCTCTCTCTCTCTCCCTATATATATATATATATATATATATATATATATATATGGAGTTTAATGAAAATACGTTAAAAAGAAAGAAAGAACGCATTGCTCTACGGCAGGCGCCCCCCAACTTGACGTAAGTCTGGACTTGCCAAGCGTTCAAGTATCTCTTCCTATATATATATATATATATATATATATATATATATATATATATATATATATAGAGAGAGAGAGAGAGAGAGAGAGAGAGTTTAATAAGTAAAAGAGGTAAGAAAGAAAGAAAGAAAGAACGCATTGCTCTACGACAGGCACCCTCAACTTGACGTTTAATAAGTAAAAGACGTTAGAAAGAAAGAAAGAAAGAAAGAAAGAAAGAAAGAAAGAAAGAAAAAGATGAGTAAATATAAAAAAAGATTAATAAGAAGAAACTCCCAAAAAGAAAGAAACAAAACGCAAACAAGCATAAAAAATAGAAACAAACAAACAAACAAACAAGCAAACAAACAGGAACAGAAAAAAAGAAAGAAAGAAAGAAAGAAGCAACAAACAAACAAAAAGATGACTAAATCTAAAAAGAAAGAAGATTAATAAGAGGAAACTCACATAAAAGAAGAAAGAAACACACAAACAAGCATAAAACGAAAAAAGTAAGAAACAAGCAAGCATAAAAAAGGGACAGAAAGAAAGAAAGAAAAAAAGAAAGAAAGAAAGAAAGAAAGATGAGTGAATATAAAAAGAAAGATAAATAAGAAGAGGAACCTGAAAAGACAGAAAGAAATAAGCAAACAAGAAACAGAGAAACAAAGAAAGGAAGTCCAAAAGAAAGAAAGAAAGAAAGAAAGAAAGAAAGAAAGAAAGAAACAGAGAAGCACCGAAAGAAAGTAAACATGTATATGAGCAATTACAAATCTATTAAAAGGAAGTGGTATGTGAAAAGTAAGATATTCATATAAATTTGAATTGAAGCAGGTTTTGGGGTGTCAATAAATAAATGTAATGGGTGAATGAGTGGCGCGTAATGAAGAAAATATTAAGGAACGAAGAAAGAAAGAAAGAAAGAAAGAAAAAAGAAAGAAAGAAAGAAGGAAGAATGCATACAAAAAGACAATATAAGAATAACCTTACGCAAGGGAAACAGAAGAAAACAAATAAAAATAAATAAAAAAAAACGGAAAGGAAATGCAGAGAAAGAAAAAACAGACAGTAAAGATAACAAAAAAAATAAAAATTAAAAAGTAACAGAAAGTAAGAAATAGAACTTTTCCAAAAAATGAAAAGAGAAACAAGAGAGAAAAAGGGAAAGGAAAAAAGGAGAAAGATTCTTTTTTTAAAATTAATAATAACAGAAAGAAAAAAAACGAAAAAGAAATAAAATGAAGAAAGATAGAAAGAAATGAATGAAAAATGGTGCAAAAGAAATAGAAAAATATTTTTTGAAATAAGAAAAGAAACAACAAAAAGAAAAAAAAACAAAAAGAAAGAAAGAAAGAAAGAAAGAAAGAAAGAAGGAAAGAAAGAAAGAAAGAAAGAAGGAAAAAAGAAAGAACAAAAGAATGACAAAGACAGGAATTTATTAAATACGTCAGCACATAAAAAATGAAAATAAAAAAGGAAAAAATTGAAAGAAAATGAAAACTTAAAAAAGAAATAGTTGAAGGAAAAATTAAATAAAAAACCCGATGTTTTTGAAAGAAAGAAAGAAAGAAAGAAAGAAAGAAAGAAAGAAAGAAAGAAAGAAAGAAAGAAAAGGATTTATGTTACATAAACGCATTCGGTAAAAATTTAAGACATGAAAATGGGAACGATTTAAAAGAACATCATCTATTATCTTGTTTATTGTCACTTTATGAGATTTGTGTCATAGACAGAGCCCCGGATGACACTGTCTCTCCTGCTGTTTACTGTCTCTGTTCAGTGGTCATGATTGTAATTTTTTAAATTTATTTGAGCGTTGAAGATCACGAATGAAATCGAGCGTCCATAACCTTAGCGCCCCAATGTCTGAGACGAAAATGACAAAACTTGCTAAGCGGGCGAGGTAATAATAATAATACGAAAATTTACTTACTGTTTTTTTTTTTTTGTTGTTTTTTTTTGTTTTTAAATCTAGCACAAGACTCGAATAGTAGTGTATTTGCAGCTAAAGTGAATATGAGCTGCAAAAGGACTAGCAGAAAGTTACAAGAATACGAGAAGCCTGTATTGACCTCACTGTATTAAAAAATGGTCTATACTAGTTAACTAATCATATTTATTTGGATAAAGATACAATATTTACTGAAAGCAGGCCGCCTACATACGGATAGAAAATAAATTGACTAATTTGTTTCCTACAACTTATAAACCCTTTGCAGGGTATTTAAAACCAGAAAATATTTTTAGAGTGTAAGAATTTTTTTTAGGGGTGGGGAGATAATAATCAATTAATGATTCAAGCCATGATAAATAACTGGGGAAAAAAAAGAGGTGGTTTCATGCCTTTCCCACGGTTATTTGCCTGTAAGTGAATATAGCACACCCAAACGGGAATTGGAACTCAGATCTCCGACTAACAATTCCGAACCATTATCCATTACACCACACGCACATCCAAACTTACAGCACCCGATATTCGCAACCGGTCACCAATCTAGGTACTGACGTTGCTTAGCTTCGATGATCGTGCGGGAACCGGTGTTTCAACGTGATATGGCAATAAGTCCCGAAAATAAATTAGCCAAGTACACAAAAATAGAAAAAGATGTAAGAAAAATATACATCTTCTCACCGGATTTATTTAAACTATACGAGAAGGCGCAATGTCATTCTCCTGGAGGTTAGCATCTGCCAAGCTGTTGGAAGGTAAAAAGGGTGCCCCCAGACAATTAAAAGAGAGCAGTTTCGTTTTAGAAGCGTTAAAATTAACATGCCATTTCTTGCCGCAGTTAACAACAGAAAGTAGATCATTTTTTAGGTCAGCTGCCAATTTGACCTTATCGAATCACTTACTATTAAGTCAGGAATAAAAGATTGTGTCATCAGCATATATTCTTCACGATAACGTACTGATACTTTTTCTTTCTAATTTTGATTAACATGTGCGCATTGTACGGTATATTTTGCTAAAGTGGAAACGTAATAAAAAGTGTAAACAAAACATTAAGAGTGTTAATAATCTTTTTTCGACTTAAAATCTTGAATGAATTCGATAATGACCAACATTGCTGTGAGAAGAGCTCAAAAACACTTAAACAAATTGTAAGGATGAAATTTACACTATTTTTATCTTTCGGACTGTTGTTCTCATCTTTATTGCCATATTCACGGCGTTTCGGCCGTTGTACGCTTCGACCTTCTTCATGTGAAAATAGATAATGAAGGAAATAGACATTCAAGGATGAAATTATTAAATTAAGTATGTCCACTGTTTTCGCGGAAAAACAGCATAGCGTAAATGAAAAATGCCACAAACTTAAAGAAAATAAAGTATTATCGTCAAAATGCTTATGTTATTATTAAGATGAAAGAAAAAAGTATTTTTTAATTATTTTTTGAAATTTTTTAATATTTTCTAACACGTTCGAAATTTTGGTTAAAGTCGTCTTTGTTTACGTCATCGCGGTGACATTTAAAATAACATTGTTTTTTTTGCGTTTTTTTACCGTTGAAAACATATTGATTTGGAAATTCTTGTAAAAATAAAATAATTGTCCAATCTTAATGAAATTTTCAGGACTTATTCACAAATCAATGAAATTATTTTTTGAAATATTTTGTTTTTAGAAAATTTTGGTAAAAAATATTTTTTTTAAATATGTTACCCCCACTTAGTTAATTTCATGAAATTTCGCCCAAAACCTTTTGGCTCCTCAATTTTATTTTTTTGTTAAAAGAAGGAGTCTTTGGAGATGGTAAATAACCTACTTTTCTTTTTACAAATTTGAGCTACTTAACTGAAAATCTTGCCTGAATTGAAAATAATGAATCCAATAAAACTATGATATTACTTAATTAGAAAAGCTTTTAATTGCTTTTGTAAATAAGTAATATTAAGGACATTATTGTCTGAAGAAATATTTTTTTTCTGATGAATAATTAATTTTTACAAGAATTTTTTCGTTTTTTAAGAAATTTTAATTATAATAATTTATAATAGTTTAACATCGTGTAAAGCTCTGTATTAGGAGGGCTCCTCAATATTATGTAGTAATTAAGTAGAAAAAAAATTTACGAATCCAAAATTGCTAAGTTTAATAAATTTAGTTGAGCTACTTTTTTTAAAAATAATTTTTTATGTTGTATTTTTTTACTTAATACATTCCTTATTTCCATGTATGACATACAGAAATTGCCATTATTATAACAAGGTCACGTGATCTAAGGGTTTTGTCCCTTTACGTGGCCTTTTCAAAACATTTCGTTTATTAACAGATTGTATTTTCCGATCAGCTGTAAAAGTGTAAACTTTAAATTTTAAATTATTTTTTTATTTTTTTCATTTACTATTTCACTAAATAATTTTATTTTATGTATTGTATTTCCATTAGTGTGTGTCATACTCAAATAGAATAATTTTTTTAAAAACTCAGACTTAAAAATTATGTCATTTATGGTCATCAGTAGTAGCTGTCATCGGCTCGTCAATCAACCAATATCAATAAGATCGAACAACTGAACAGGACCGCTCGTTAATAATTGGTTGTATATTATTTTTTATGCTATAAGTAACAAAAGATTTCTTTGAAATCAGATTACTTTAACTTTAAATTTTTTAATTTTACTAAAATAACGTGTCAGAATTTTTTTAAATATTTTAAAATCGATAAATTTGTGTTTGTTTACAAATTTCTTAAAATTAAGAAAATGGCCGTTTTTAAGAAAATTTAAAAATTTGAAATTAAATTTGACAATCAAATGTATATAGTTTCTATCTGAAATACACCAGAATTGTTTAATTAATAGAAATCGTAAATTTAATTATTAAACTTTCAATTAAAGCTAAAATGAAATCTTCAAGAATGTTTTTTCATTGTAAAAAATTCATTTTAAACTTCAATATAGAAAATTTATGCCGAAATAGTGGAGGTACTTATATTAAATGTTAATGAAATAAGAATATTATCTTTGTGTTTTAGAGCTGCAAAATGTAAATAAGACCCTTTTTATTTTTTATTTTATTGGTGGGTTGAAATCGATAAAAATGCCCCAATAGTCACTGGTGTTATTTCTTTTAATCGTTTAATTTTAAGCAAGGCGATAAAGCCACTAAGACGCAAGGGAGTTACTGAGCGTGAGAAACATTACTGAGGAGAAAGGATAATGAAAAATAGGATTCAAAGAAATAGATGACAATTGATGTTGCGTTTATTTTATTTTATTTTATTGAATATTGTAATTGACAGGGGAGCAAGAAGGAGGTAGAGAGTTTCTACTGGGATTTTTTATTGAGAAGAACCTATTAAAATAGAAATTACGCTTAAATTTAACAATTTCAACAGTGAAATGATGAGACCTAGCTGCCAATCTAGTACTACGCTTAATAACAAATATGAATCAAATTAAAAACAGTGATTGAATGTGAAGATGGACGATCTGTAAGGGCGAAATTAATTTACCTTTAGATACAAACTTTAGGAATATCAATAGGTATCAAAATTACAAAAGACAAATATATAATATCAATTTTATTCCTTATTTTACTTGGAGTAAAAGGTAAATAACGAGAGAGAATGTATGTATCTGTGAAGAGAAACAAAGACAGAGAAAAAGAAATAGTGAAATAGATAACGATCTAGCTAAATGTCTTATATAAGGATCTCTGATAGCGATAATAAATAATTGCTGGATATTCCTATCTATGCTAAGTCATCATAATGTTGCTTAATCATTTATTCAAGATCATTGAAAATTTACGCTACATTACCATTGAATCGTATGATTTTTTTTTCTTTTTTACTTTTGACGCTAGATAAGGAATATTTCAATTTGTTAAATTTATTAATGTTTGTTTTAATGTTTTTTAACTTAACTGACTCTAACTAAAATGCAAATATATAAACTATATACAATGCATATTACGTAACATACTGTTATGAATAATCAAGAATAGTCTCTCCTTGTATTGTTACTGTACCCTTTCAGAGAGCTATTTCTGTTTACTATAAAAGGACACTATGCGCGAACCTTGTATTCTCAGTTGAGTAAAGCCTACACCTACGTACTTTTGTCATTACACATACTTTAAACAAACCAATACTTTAAACTAAATAAATAAGATAACCCCACCAAAAAACAAAAAAGTAAATAAATAAACAAATTAAGTAAATAATAAACAAATTAACAAAATATAAATGTACGCTACATTACCATTGAATCGTATGATTTTTTTTCTTTTTTACTTTTGACGCTAGATAAGGAATATTTCAATTTGTTAAATTTATTAATGTGTATTTTGATGTTTTTTTAACTTAACTGACTCTAACAGGCCATCAACAAGATTTTTAAAAACCCAGACATGTCTTACATTTACTTACTGTTTTTTAACACTCTTGTATTTTATCACTGGAGATAGCATTTTTTTCTCAGTATCCAAAAACTATCTTCGTTATTCGTGGTGATTTTTGTAATAATTTTCAATTCTTTCTCGCAATTTTCCAATGTCATTCTTACTGCAAGGATGTTACTGGCAGTTCCCAATACTCCAATAATGATGAGTACCACTGTTAAGTTCATATACCAGTTTTTAGTTCTAGGTATTTGTTCAACCGTTACACTTTCTTTCAATTTCAATTT